CTTCCTAGACGTAACTAGGACCCCACTGTGCCATATAATTTGCTCCTAGTCATAGTGTAAATTTGTGTGCCCCTGTGTAAAACATTCTCACCGTAAATACTTTCAAGTTCCGCCTGAAGTTCCGTGTGATTTTGTTTCTTTATGCGCTCAGAAATCGAATCAGAGAAATCACATCAGAACATAATCCCTTCTTTAGAATAAAATTATTTTGTATAGTGGTCGCCGTCTTTGCTGTAATGTAATTGTTGTAAATTAATGGTTTCATTCATTTTGTTCAGTTTAATGGTGCACCCAAATCGAGTATTTGTTTACTACTAAAAACTTTTTACAGAATGAAATATTATTAGACAGTTATTTAAATGGCTATTTTCCTGTTACTTCAGGGACATCCCCCGTGAATTCACTTCTATTTGATTGTTGATTTATTGTCATTATTGAATGGGCAACCAAACAACAATAATCAACCAACATTTGAAAAGAAGTTCAGTTATGATTCTACGGGCTCTTAAAGTTGATACACTCACAAATTCCTGTTTGAGCTTGTGTCAATGTTTCCAATGGCCCCGCCGTATATCATGTTTCATCAGAGATTCGAAGCCAAAAATGTATCAAGAACCATTTATTTTTGTCTAGGTTTTGAGGTGAAAAGATTATCAAGTCGCATTTATCTTAATGGGGCTATTTGTGTCAATCAGCTGCATAACAAGTAAAGTTTGGGATTGGAACCCACACGGTAAAAGATCAAAGGGAAGACTACGTGGAACCTGGAGAAGAGTCACAAAAATAAATATACAGAAAAGTGAGAAGACATGGAATAACATCAAGAGGCTAGCCTTGGATAGGGAACGGTGGAAAGTGATTGTTCGTAACCTATACCCTGGCCCAGGGGGAGAAAGACAATTATGATTTATGTCGATTGAGTCTCAAAATTGACATTAACAAAGAGCTACATCTATTAAAATTTATGTCATCATAAGGTTACAATGATGATTAACGGTACCTCCAGGCGTCACACGCAAAATAACTTTATTTTCAAAAAGTGAAAAAAAGAAAGAAAAGAAAAAGAAGAAAAGAAGAAAAAAGTTGAGGGGCCACAACCGGTTTACAATTGTTGCTAGCATAAACTTGAAATGATAAATAATGTGTAGCACTGGGTACTACTCTTCACACACGAGCAGTTGAAAGCAAAGCAAATGAGTGCAACAGCACCCGGTCACCAACATTAATATTATCATTCATTATCACAGACAAATAAAAGCTCATAATGTAGAGGTCGTTGAAATTGTTGTCTATTTGATGGTCCATTTGAAATGTTCGAATCACCTGGAAACAGCTTTGTTGTAAAACGTTAAGATTACACGATTGTAGTTAATGTGTATAGCGTTTGGTTATTTGAGAGATAGTGAAAGAGAGAGAGAGGGGAGGGGAGGAGAGAGAGCGAGAGCTAAAGAGAGAGAGAGAGAGAGAGAGAGAGAGAGAGAGAGAGAGAGAGAGAGAGAGAGAGAGAGAGAGAGAGATGCCCAGACCATTAAGAAATTAAAAACGACAACAATCATCTCAAGAGGCAAAGTAGCCAGGACGCTTTCTTGACATTATGACTTGCGTTTTCAGGCTGAGTTTGAAACGAATATTGTCCATGTTTTGATATTTTACTTCTACATACAGGTTTTGAAAAATAACCAAGCCCTCCTATTGAAGATAAACTGCATTTTAGGAGGGGTTATATTTTGGTTCTTTTTTTTTTTTTAAGTGTATTTGTGTGGTTTGGGAGGGATGGTTTTCTTTTTGTGTGAGCGGGGGAGGGGGTTATGTTGTTGTTGTCGTTGTTGTTGCTGTTGTTGTTGTTGTTGCTGCTGCTGTTGTTGTTTCTCTTATTTATAATATAGATTGTACTCCAACTATGTTCCTTATTTGTTTCACTTTATGCAGATTTCTTTTTTAAGAAACGGTTTCTAATAAGGATGCAGTCTAATAGAGCAAACCCTTTGCATAGCTCAGAATATTGCGAAGGGCATTGATTTACATAGTGCTTGGAAATGTTATTATGAAAGAGGAAAAATACACAGGGGAAGGGCAAGAGGTGCACGAGATATGAATAAACGGAAAGATTGACGACAATTAAAAATGAGGCCAGCAGGTCGACATAAGAAAAAAAAATCAACTCTTAATGTCGCAAATGTTGTAATGGTAACTGTGCCAATGGAGGCAGTTAGGGATAATATATTATTAGAATCCTGCAAAAGATACTAAAGAATAAAAAGGTGACTTTTTCCAAAGGAACAAAACTGAAAAATTACTTACGTTTATAGCCTGGGCAATCTAGAAAATCGTCTTGAGACACCACAAGACCAACGAGGCAAAAGGAAACTGCCAGAACATTCAGCCTTGACATGTTTGCTGTTTTCGTATCTCTGTGGCATAGATCTATGGTCTATACTAACGAAAGTCAGTGTCTAGGCCATTAGTTTACTAGCAACTACTACAACATCTGGCTCATGGATCGAGACCGGAAAGTATTTATACTTGTGCAGTCGTCTAAATAATATTAATACGCCGGTGATATTATGTCGATCTGACCCGAAACACGAGGGAGAGATTTATAACAAGTACGGTGATTTGTCCAAGTCTTCTTTGATGACACCATTGAATTATCGTCGGAAATTGTGTACGGTAGGTAAAATTCCCGAAGGCCAACATTTGTACCATCAAGCTCTCTCTCTCTCTTTCTCTCTCTCTCTCT